TTCGAGGGCATCATTTGTGTGTTCTTTGAATAGCCCACATGCACTCCTTGTGCATTCTTCGAATGGGCCACCAATGCGTGTTCACAATGTAGCAATCTTATGCTTATGAAACGAAGGCAGGCATGAAGAGGAAACCTTTGCTTGGTGAATTAAAGGCCAGTTGAAAGGGGAGCCTTTGCCTTGTGGATCGAAGGCAAGCATCTTGAACCAATACTCATCAAAAGGAAAAATAAGCTTGTTTTCCATAATTATGTATCCTTCGAATGAACCACATATATGTCCTTCAAAAGGCACCATTGGCGTATCCTTCGAATGGACCTTACTAGGTGTCAAAATATGGAAAACTGTGTGTTGAATATTTTAGAGGTGGAGTCAAACTAGCATGAGGGAAGCCAACTGCTTAATAAATCGAAGCACATATGAAAGAAAACCACTACTTTATAGGCGCTGGCATGAAGGGAAATCATTTCCTTGCGCATTGGAGGCAAGCCCAGAGGAAGTCATTTTCTTGTGGGTTAAAAGCAAACACAGAGGCAAGTTGAAGGGGCCTTGGCCTTGTGGATCGAAGGCAAGTCTGAGGCAACCTTTTGTCTTGTGAAACGAAGACCAGTGAAAGGGGCCTTTTGCCTTGTAGATCAAAGGCAAGTTGATGGGCCATTTCCTTGTGAATCCAAGGCAAGCATGAGGAAGCTTTTGCCTAGTGGATCAAAGGCAGGTCTGAAGAAGCCTTTTCCTAAACGAAGCTTGCGTGCAGGAGTCCACTGCTGGAGAATCGAAGCAGACTTGTAGAGGGTTCTTGCCTTGTGCGCTGAAGGCACGCACAGTGGGAGTATTTTCCTAGTGCACTGAAAGAATCAAGCTGGCTCCAAAGAAACTAAATGCCTAAACGAAGCAGGAATCATGTTTGCTCCAAAGAAATCAAATGCCCAATCGAAACAGGAAATAAGCTTGCATGCATGTAGCCATTGCAATGTGAATCAAGCCAGCATGCAAAGCCAATGGTGCAATCGAAGTAGTACTGACATGAGGCTCTTACCTTTTGGGTCAAATGAGGTTGTTTCAAAGGAAATACATGCCCAGTCAAAACTTGTGTACAACAAACAAGAAAAAGGCCAAGGCTTCAATCAAATCTTGGGAATTTGAAGCAAGCTGGGAGGAGGTTAGGTGCTCAATCGAAGCCTATCAAGATGCCAATCAAAAGACCCTTTGACATGCCAACCGAAAGACCTTGCTTATCTTCAAAAAAATTTATTTTTTCTTTAATCAAGTGTTTGTAATCACCTATGTAAGAAAAATCTTGGAAAAATATGAGAGGGCAAATTTTGGGGTACAACACTACTCCATGGAATCAAAACTGAGAGAATACCATCCTAATTGGTTATTAATTTGCTTGAGTCTTGCTTTTTGAACCTTTGAATCTCCAAATGCAGTAGTGAAAGGGTATATATAAGTTACTTTTGCGGCCATGCACCTGTAAGCAACCACATCACCTTTAACCAAAAACTCAAGCACATTTATATCAAATTTCCCATTAACTTCAGCTTTCAGATATTGCCCTGCACATTATATATATATATATATATATATATATATATATATATATATATATATATATATATATATATATATATATATATATATATATATATATATATATATATATATATATATATATATATATATATATATATATATATATATATATATATTTCATTGCTAATTTGCTATAATTTCTAGCAAATAACAACAACAAAATAATAAATTAATCTAAAAGTAAGCACATTAGGTTGCAGGGTGTTTAAATCACCATATGGAGTATCTTCCACATGTTAGAATTTGACATTTTTCCTGGTTTATATAATAGCTTCACGTAATCTCCGAAAAAGAAAAAATATAAAAAAATTATGAACAACTATAACTCAAACTTGAAGGTACTTTTTTGAATTCTAAGTAATGGTTTAGAAATCTGAATAGCATTATCCATTAAATTTTTTGAAATCGTCCAAGGAAAATCAAAATTTGATGATTTTGGATTTGTTGATACACAACCCCCAAGTTGATGCACTCGCCTACCATTAAAAAGGTGACTTTTAGCTGAGGGATTCACCTACCATTAAAAAGGTCGCCTTCAATCGAGTGACTCAACTCCAAATTGAGGGACTCACCTACCATTAAAAAGCCATCTTCTATCGAGGGACTCACTCCATGCTGAACAACCCACCTCTTATTTAAAAGGCCACCTTCAGCTAAATGACTCGCCCTAAGCCACATGATAAAACCTGAAGAGAGCCTTAAAACACTCCGCCCTTTACAAGACCTCGTGCCTGAGAGACCATGTAATATTATATTTGTGAGAGTCCCAAACAAGGGTGACACCAGATTCCTCGTCTATCATGAAATCGCTCGAGTGACATCCTCATAGAACGTGAGGGCTCGCCTCTTGGAAAAATGATGTGTATGGTTGTTATCCACCCATTAGTCATGTTTGAATGAGTTATATCACGACTTTCTGTAAAATAGGTAGTTAACAGTCTCTCTCAATCAAAATGGAGTAGTTTTTGTTTTTGAGGATTTCCTAAAGCCTAAGCTAAAAGACCTTTATAAACACTTCTCTCCTAACGGGAGAAAGACAAATCATTCATACCCTAAGCACAATGCTTACACACAAATCCTCTCAGCTCACATAACTGACCTTCCATAACCATCGTAAACACCGTAACACCACCATACATGATCTCTCGCCACCGTGAGAAAACCCTAACTGTTATAAACTTAAAAAAGCCTTAGAATATCCTCTATCCTCGTAAAAATACCACACACACTTATACTTTTTAACGAGTACATTTATATTGCTTAATTTTAACCATATCACTTAAATTAATCATATCACTTAAATTTTGTATTATTATATTATTTCACTGTTTAGTACAAAAAAAATTATACACAACTTTTATATTATTTATATTGTTTAATTTTAACCATATCATTTAAATTTTATTATAATTTTTCAATTTAATCAAATATATTATTTATATATTTTGTTAATACTTAACATAACACTATATATAAATTTGGGCGATTTCAAGGAGAATTGTCTTGTTTTCATTATAGTGTACAAGTGTTGATAGAAACGATTATTCTACATATAGACACATAATACTTGCATAGAAATCTCCTTAAATCAATATTCTTAGAACAATCAATAAAAAGAGAAAACATTTTAAATTTATTTAAAATTTAATTTTTTTTTAATTGGAATCATGTGATGGTTGTGATAATGAATGAGAAAAAAAATTATTAATTTTATTTTTTAATTAATAAAAAAAGTTGTGATTAGTTGTTTGTAAAACTATCTCTAATTGTAAACGTTGTGTTTTTTCCTTCTTTTTCATAGAAACTAATATCTAGGTGAACATATCTGATTTAACATCAAATATACTACAAATTTTTCTTCCGGATCTTAAAGTCATTAACATAGTTTCTCACCTTATTCTTAACATAGTAATGAGAAATACTAAATAATGTGCAAGTAAAATGCAGCAACAGCCAACACAAACAGCTTTAGAAACTGCTACCAAACAGAAAATCTAAAAAATTGTTTATGCATTAGTGAATCTAGTAAATATGAGACTCTTAGCATTTCTATAATAATAACTTAAACTGCAAAACAGCAAAGAGCATAAAATTGGAGTACATATTAATACAGAATATACTCTATAACAATACATGCATTAATTCATTGAGCTATACACAATACACAAACCAAAGAACAAATGCATTAACTACTCCATAGAATCAAAACTGGGAGAAAACCATCCCAATTGGCCATTAATTTGTTTGAGTCTTGCTTCTTGACCCTTTGAATCTCCAAATGCAGTAGTGAAAGGGTATACATATGTTACTTTTGCTGCCATACACCTATAAGCAACCACATCACCTTTCACTAGAAACTCAAGTACATCTCTATCAAATTTTCCATCAACTTCAGCTTGCAGATATTTCCCTGCACATTCATTTTACCATAGGTCAAGTTATCCCCATTGGCCTGTAAAACCAATGCTTCTGTATCGGCAAGTTAGTATATTTCTAAATTTCATAGCTAATTTGCTACGGTTCCTATCGAACAAGACCAAAAACAAAATAGTAAATTGATTGAAAACTGAACAGAACGGTTTTCAGTGTGATTGAATTACCATCTGGAGTATCTTCCACTGGCTGGAATTTGACATTTTTCTGAGTCTCTATAATAGCTTCACGTAATCTCTGGAAAAGAAAAACCATAAAATAAAAAAAAATGAACAATCATAACTCAAACTCAAAGGTACATTTTTGAATGCTAAACGGTTTAGAAACCTGAATAGCATTATCCACTGAGTTTTCTGGAATAGTCCAAGGAAAATCAAAATTGGATGACTTTGGATTTGTTGACACACAACCCGGATTAGTAGAGGGACAAGGCCTAATTTTTCTGCAAGAAAAATAATTGTATTGATAACAAAATCAAAACAAGAAGCATATACATAGAAATGATTTCTATTATAATAAACCAAAATTGGGTAAAATATTGACACACATACCCGTTTTCTAGTCCAAGTTGCAAGTTCTTTGATTGAGAAAAGGGAGTTGTAAGAGAGATTGGAGGGGGTTTAGAAGAATTGAGGGAAGGGATTGCATGAGAAGGTAGAGGAGAGGTTAATGTTATGGCAATGGCTAGAGAGAAGAGATTTGGTATGAATTTGGGTGTTAGGTTTGGTAGTTTGGGAATGGTGTTAGTGTGTGTTTGAGAAGAAACAGTAAGAGGAAGATGACCAAGAAAGAAGGTCATCATTTTTATTCACTCTTCTTCTATCCACTCACTACATCATCTTAAAATATAAAATATTTTATTTTCATATATATTAAAAAATAATAATTTTAATTTTTTTAATATGTAAATATATTAAAAAAATTATTTTGGTTTGTTTTCTGAAACAGATTCAGAAAATTGATTAGGGTTTGGAATGGAGGAACTATCAGTGAACGGTGCAATGTCGACGCAGGATTTAGCGATGGAAGGTCATAAATACTTGGAAGAAACTATACAATATGCTTATAAGATACTTTCTTCCATGAACGACGAACTTTGTAACCCAGCTTTGTGGTCCACTACTCCTTCCGCGGTTAACTCTCCCAATGCTCCTTCCTCAAATGGTGATGCAACTTCTGATAACTCCGGCCAACACGGCGATGGAGGCGCTTCCGGTGGTGGTACTGGTGGTGCTCTTGATGAAGCTCGATTTCGGTATAAGAAGGCTGTTGCTGGTTTACGTAGTGTGCTTGTTGCTATTCCGAACTCTCAGAAGGTATGATTTTCAACCCTAGTTTTGTAATCTGGCTTTTATTGTGTTTCGTGTTTGTTTCTTTTGTTAATGGATTTTGGATTAACAAATAGTAGTTTCTTTTGTTAATGGATTTTGGATTTTCACAATAAGAATTGCCAATAAGAGTTCACAAACCACAATTTGAAATGTTTTTCACAATAAGAGTTACCAAGTTTATTGTAATGATGATTGTATTCCTAATCTTAATTTTTGCCGTGTAATCAAGCAAGAATTCATGTTTATTGTGAGAAACAAGAACTCTCATTAACACCCATTCAATTGAAATTAACGGTTTGGATTAAAGAATCTCGTGAAAATATCACGTGTCTCCAATCATCGGCACAGCTATGAAGAATTTCTTAGTCAACGTTTCAAAATATATCTTGAATCTTGTTTAATAGTCACATTTGCAACTCTGATCAAAAAACAATTTAGGAAATCACAAAAAAATTCGATACTAAACAAAATCGAAGTAGCCAGAGCCTTGTCTCGATGCAAAGCTCGTGATTACAACAATAATTTAATTTAATTAAAGATGAAAAAACAAGGAACATTGATTGCACATAATTCTTAGCTTAGATAGGCGATGTTAAATGTCAAACATGAGAGACCGTCAAACATGAGAGACCGTCGATTAGAGCACACAATAATGTGTTCATATGACAAAGAGTGGAAACCGGAGAGTACAATTCAATGAACAAAGGGGGAGATTAAAGATCACATTACATTTTATTGGGATTTTTTCAATCCAAACGGTTAATTTTGAATCTTTGATTGAACGGCTACTATCGATGGTTCATGTTTCTCACAATAAATACGAGTTATCACATAATATGCTCCGGTGTATACTTGCTCTTTTCTCCCCCTCTATTTTAAAATATTTTATAGGAAACGGTAAAAACAACTCCATATTGTTGATTAACATCCTTCTTCCTATTACCCATTTTTAGATCAAGATCTTTACCACTTAATAGGGGACATCTGAGTTTATGGAAACTAGGTCTGCGTGTCAAAGAAGATCTCTATTATGGAGATCCTTCTCAAAGCGGTAAAGATATGGCTAGCACATAATCAATTCTTTTACGAGTATTTCAAATCAATTCTTTTAGGAAAGAAATGAAAGTAATGACATTTTTTTGTAATTATTGGTAAAAGTTGAAAGTTCTTAAATCAAACAGGTCCTTTATTGCTCACTGTGACTAGGCCTGGCATTGGCATATTATTCGCTATTGATGTTGTGAATCAGTTTCATAAGTTTATAAATCTCATCATGGTGATATTTGGGATGCGATTATGTGAAATTTTAAGGTCTCTCCTGGAAGGGTTTAGGAATAGTAATGTTCATACAATTATAGTTGTTTATACTGATGTTGTCTGGGCTGGATTTCCCAATCATATAGAAAATAGTTGCCAAGTCATGCAGTGAACTGGAGTATTGAGTCATAACTCACTACATTTAAACATTTATGGATAAAACAACTCCGAAAAGTAAATTATGTTTTGTGAGATATGATTTATGATGTTAATCTGTGTTGATCTACCGGCACTCCATTCACTGTTAGCAGAGTGTAAGAAGTTCATGTAATTCACAAATTATATTCCTTGTCAATTATCAAGTCGAACCTTGCTGACCCGAAGTTTTTTAATCTGATGTGGTGTTAATAATGAGCGGTATTAGGATGAGTCATTTCATTGAATGGAAATATAAAAATACACTAGTTTCAAAGTTCTGAGACACAATCATAGATGTGAAGTGACCCTCCATTTTGGTGGGTTTTCTACACTTGCACAAGAATATTAAATTTATACTACGGATAAGTTTAACACATGATAATTCAGTAACACGATGAAAAGTTTTAAAGCTCCTATAGAACCTTATAATGATGCAGAACTGAGTGGAGCATTAAGTGACCTAACTAATGAATTTTGAGTTCTGACTGTGTTTATTACTTAAACCCCTTAAATAAGAAACCAGCTATCCTTTTGTTCTCTGAATATTTAGTGAATTTCAATTCCTCTAGATATCTTTCTGACTTAGTACAAGGCAGTGAAAATTTCTCTGCACCAAGGTTTGATATGATCTTCTGAAATGGAATTGATAGTTATAAGGATCACTATATGAAAAACTTCAGCGACGGATGGGGGTACATCACTTTCTAAATAATATTTCTATGTTAGACTTAGACTCCAAGTCCTGTTAAATGGTTAAGGATATTGACACGCAAACTTGCATCTTATTGCGAGCATTATGGCCATCATTTTATCTGTCAAAGATTTTATTTCCATGTTAAACTAACTTTGTTTACATTCTAGACAAACACATTTGACAATGGTTCAGCTGCTAGCCCTGCGGATGAAGCTGAAATCGAGAAGTTGGAAGAGCAAGCCTCTTCTTTAAGAAAGGTTTGTTGTGTTAACCTCTATGTCTATCCTCGTAAGAAAGAAAGGCTTATTATTTTGGTCTCAGGTTTTAGCTTATCAGATAACACTTTTCAATCAAACTATGTTACCTGCAGTTAATAGATTCTTAAGATAATTTATATTTAGTCTATTTTCGAAAGCCTAAAACAATTTTGATTGGGAAAAAATTTTAGGTTCTGGTTCTGGACTGAAGTTGTTGGGAACTTGTCTTATTTTAAGTAATTATATTTTTGTGTTTTTTTACTCAATTCTATTTTTGTGTTAAACATTGGATTTCTATCCATAAATGTAGGAACTTGGCAACAAGAACTTGCATCTGAAGATACTCATAGATCAACTACGAGAGCTTATCACTGACATATCAACATGGCAAAGTCCCTTTTCTACCTGAAGTTTGTTGTGCTTGCATGGGGATAATATAAAACGATAACATGATCTAGATTACAGTAAATGGTAATGACACTTCTTGATATTTTACCAGTTGAAGTTGAATCAGTTGTATTAGCATGCTTATGCTCTTATCCTAAAACTTCACTTTCAGAGTTGTGGAATGAAGTGGTGTGTCTGAACGAGGTTGCCCGGCTTGTATTTTGTAGAATAGTTGACAAAATTTGCAAAATAGCAAACTGCCAATCTCTGATGATAGTCTGATGTAATCTTTTATTTGATTGTTGTTAGAAATTGTACCAAAATAGCTCTCTCGAGTTAAAGAAGGTGCCAAACTATTGTACAAGGATGAAAGTTTTAGTGATTTTATTCACCAATCAGTATGTGCAATTCATAGCTTGTTCCCTAGATTGATATACTGCATTTTATATCAAGTTGTTCTTCTGTCTTTCACTCCCTTTATTTTGAGTCATCCGCACGGGTTGGGATTGAGTGACTTTAAGGCGGGAAAATCACAATAAAGTTATGATGCATTTTCAGCCATAAAAGGCACCCATTCCATTTTTAAAATTTAAACACCAGATCAAGTGAGTTTTCTGACATAGCTGGATTTCAATTGAAGAGCTATGCCTATCATTGTCCATCCTTCTAGAATTGCTCTTATCTCAGATTAAAAGAAAATGTTTTACCAAAAAAAGTAATGTACCAATCAAATGTCATGTAGCTTAGCTCATGACAATCAAGAAATTCACATGATAATATTAAAGCAATTTAAAACAAAACTATGACACTTACATTTAGAATACCATTTTGTACTTGGTACAAAAGGATTGAAGATGTCTTCTTTGAAATCATCACTAACCAAACCAAAACTCCCCAAGTTTACTTTGTTTTCCTAAGTTCTTCCAATATCAAACAGAGAAAGACATTCCATGCTTGCATGATTTTCTGACAGCATTCTAGCCGACAAAAACACACACACACACTTCCCCTCCCATATGAGCTAATGCATTATATATTTCACAGTCCTAACAAAATCTAACATAATAATTCAAACATATCCACACAACTCTCTTTTTTTCTTCATTTTTTTGGGATGTTGCATAGTTTTAATTATGAGTAGAAGATCTAGTAGTGAGAGAGGATCTCATATCTACAATAGCAGACTCATCAGCCCCCAACTTGACAGCCTCTTTGCTAGCTCTTATGAATCTCGAAACAGCTCCTGTCACATAATCATGAGCTTCCTTCACATTCATCTTCTTACTCATTTCATTCGGGAAACTGCTCAAGAAGTGGTCTCCATTTAGAACAGCTGCCAACTGAACCACCTCACTCTGAAACTCAGAAAGGCTGCCATTTTCTTTCGCTTCAGTGCTCCTTAAAGGCATCACGTCCGGCAAAGTCACTGAAATACACATTAAGCCAGCTTAGTATTTCTTCACATAGTAAGGTAAATACTAAATGCCAGTGAAGTTGCATAGTCCAAGATGATAATACTGATAAGTCTATTCACCCTTGATTTATGTTTTTCATGTTGTAAGTCATGTTCGGTATATGATTATCGAGGAATTCATACCTGGACAGTCTGTTCTGGGCGAAGTTAACTCGCCAACAACATCCTCAAATGTCCCAGCCCATGCATCTCTGTGAGTCAAAAAGTTAGAGGAAAGGTTGAACAACTTCTTTATGGTCGCGGGAATTGACGAGTGCTCAAACTCGGAGTTCGCAGCTGGTCCTTTGGGACTTCTTACCACTGAAAAACCAGAACAAGTAACCAAATTTGTAGACATGTTGAACCAATCAAACCAAGGTAAATGAGTTGGAATAGTGAATACCAGTAAACAGAAAGGACAATGGTCCCATGAAAACAAAATACAACATCCAATGTAATAAAAAACAGGTAAAATGGTTTTGACCAAAGAGGAAAAGCTGGAAAATGATGAATAAACTAAGAGGATTTAGAGCTTACCAATTCCTTTCTTGATCCAAGGAGAGACCATAATAGTCGGCACGCGAACCCCTAACCTATCAAACTTAAAGAAATAAGGAGCAGGTCCTGTGTTCCCGTCTGGGTTAGGAATGTTAACAAAAGGAGTCTTGACATGATCAAAAAATCCACCATGCTCATCATATGTAATAACCAAAAGAGTTTCATTCCACTGTGGACTAGCTCTCAGAGTCTCATAAACCTCCTTCACCAACATTTGTCCATTTGCAACATCATGAGAAGGATGATCATCATTCGCAGACGAGCCCGTCAAGTCAAAATACCTCGGCTCAATCACCGTCAAGGCCGGAAGCTTCCCATTTCCAGCATTTTTCTTAAAACTAGACTCATACCGATGAAACTTGGATATATACTTCAACTTCCTTAGATTTCTATAGAAAAAAGTAGTGGGTATGTTCTCAAAATAAATCCCAAAATCCAAACCATTGTCATGCAAAGAGTCAAAGATAGTTTTTTGAGGATACCCTATTGCTAACTGTCTCTTAACATGACTAGTTGAACCATGAGAAGTTGCAGAATAGACAAAAAGCCTATTGGGTTGTGTCGGACCGGGAATCGAACTAAACCACCTATCAAAAACAGCAAATTCCTTAACCAAAGCAGCATAAACGGGAACAGATTTCGGTTTAAACCCTTTCATGACAGTCTCAGAAAGATTCTGAGAAACAGACAATGCTTGTTCCACAAAACCATTCATTGAAGGAATTGAATTTGAAACATTACCATTACCAAATACCTGTTTCAAAACATCCTCAAAAGAATGGCCTGGATCCGGATCCACAAACTCTGCATCATCACTGAAACAAATAGTGTCTTTTTTTGAGGTTTCTGTTGAAACTGGGTTGCACTCATCTCCATTGACACCGTCGATTAGAGGGTTGATGGCTTTTTTCATCCAGCCTAACATGTGATCAAAGGAACGATTTTCCATGACTAGAACTACAATGGTTTTGATGGGTTGGTTTGGGTTGAGTGCAGAGGTTGTTGGGTGAAGGAAGAGAGTTGATAGAGTAAGAAGGAGCAAGAGAATGAAGGATCTGAGTTTCATAACTGCCATTGTTGTTGCAAATGTGTGTGTAACGAGAGTTAGTTAATTTATTGGTAGCAAAAGAGAGAAGAAGAAGAAGAAGAAAGAGAAGGTTCTGGTTTTTATATATTGTGTTTTTTAGTTTACTTTAACTTGAGTTGATTGAGTTGAGTCCGTGGATAAAGAGAAAAGGAAACGGAATTGAAGGAATGTGAATGAAATGTGTCGTTTTGTGAATATGGAAGCAAACGAGTTTACTTTACGTGCTTCTTTTTCCTCCACCACCGTCATAGTGACTTTAGAAAATTTCAGAGTTATTGACAAATCTACTAATCGTGTTTAGCTAAACTAATTCAGTGGGTGGTGGTTATACGTATTAGATTTTGCCGAGTTTAACCTGTTAAAAATTTTATAATCTATAATCTATTAAAAAAAAGTTTGGTTGTCCTATTAATTTATATAAAATTTCTATTTAATTTGAACTTTTTCAAATAACTGATTTAATTAATATTAAAATAAATTATCAAATTAAAGATTAATTAAATTAGATGTTTATTTACATTGATTTATTCAGTTTTATTTACACCTACTTCATTCTTTTTTAATTATCACATTTTGACTTTTCATACATATTAAGAAAATTAATAATTGTGATTACTTTTTAAACTATAATTTTTCTTTTGTCTATAATATCTTTAACTTTTAATCATTTCAATATTTTTTTTCTCTTATAATAAATAATTAAGGGTAATTTTGACAAAATTATTATTATTATTACTTTAAAATTTGAAAATGATAATTAAATAGAAATAAAATATTTCACAACGCTTATAAAGGAACGAAAGGAGTAACATATATTTTGTGATACTATTTATTTGAGAGAACTTATAAAAACAACTTATGATATTGTTCGTAAGGTTTTTTCAACGTATTTTCATAAGTCCTTCTAGATATTTAAATAAAGTTTTGTATTTTAATTAAAAATACAAACACAATATAATAATAAAATTATTCATATTTATTCAATAGACCAATCTTATAAGTTTAAAAGATTTTTTTGCGGTATGTGGCATAATATTTTTAATTAAATAGGCTTATAAAAAAATTTGGTATGGAACTATATAAGTTAGCTTGTAGGCCTTTGTTGTTGGTCTAACTTATTTCTACCTCTAGTTATACATGGAGATTCATGCCAATTATAAATTAAATTATTAATGTTATGAAATTAACGAAAACAACATAGAGGTGAAGGAGAGAAAATAAGAGAGAAAGTGGAATTCTATTATCTTCTTCAAGAAGTTCTCTTTACATCGTAAAGTGGTCTTATTTATAGGACATTGGGAAGGTAAAAAATCATAACCTCACTATAACACTTAATAGAAAATATGAAGATGAAAGATAAATCCACTATAATATTTATTCATAACAATTAAATATTTTTAACTTTTATTGTAATTACTTCTAAAATTTATAATTATGATACTTAATTGTCTAAGATTTAAATAAAAATTTTAAATTGTCATTCTATTAAATCAATTCAGTTGATAGTTTTAGTCATGTTAAAATAGAGTTTTTGCCTCTTTTTCGGAAGTTTCTAATTCTCTCATTGCTAAATTATCAGGAATAATGTATGCAATTGAGTTCGCTTATGAAAAGAATTGAAACAATATTTAATTAAAAACCGGACTCGACGAAGATTGTCAAAGCTTTTAAACCTCCTTATCAAGTGTCTTGGTCTATTAGAAATAGGTGGGTAAACCGTATAAATATAGGTTTGAGTTTTAAACTTCTAAATTGAAATTTTATGACCTCACATATTTTTAAGAAATGCAATAGTTATGCGGATAGTCTTGCTAACGGGTTTAATATTATCAATATTACTTATTTCTCTTTCATCTCTTCTAGTATATGCTGATTTTATAAACAATATGTTAGAAATGCATTTTTTTTAGTTTGTATCTTTTTGATAGAATTTTGGTGGATCTATCTTTTTTTGTCCCATTTTTCATTTTTAATATAAATCTCCATTAAAAAAAGTCTTGTTACGTAATAATCATTTAAATTAATAGTTATGCAAATATAGTGTTGCGAATTCAAATCTACGATATTTTACTTGTGTATCTTTAAAAATCCGGGAACTTAATTCACTAAACTATGTGACAAAAAAAAAATTTAATTGATAAGTTTATAAAAACATCATATATAGAGATGATGCCAACCTGCATCACTGTTAAAAATTAAATTTCAACTTTTAGACTATTTGACAAAAAATTATAAATTAATTTAAAAAAAAATTATAATTATAAGAAAAAATTAAATATTGTTAAAAATAATTGAATTTCCTTTTATTAAAACAATTCATATTATATTGAATTTTATATTAATTTGAAAACATATCCAAACTATATATATATATATATATATATATATATATATATATATATATATATATATATATATATATATATATATATATATATATATATATATATATATATATATATATATATATATATATATATATATATATATATATATATATATATATATATATATAGATATATATATATATATATATATATATATATATATATATATATAATATATATATATATATATAATGAGATATATTATATTAATTTATTATTTGTTAATATTCCATTATTCTAATACTATTCATTAATTTTGTGTATCTATTAATTTTTTATATTTTATTTGTTTTAAATATAATCGATCATTTTCATTTTATTATTTTAATTCTTTATATATATCACATATTACTTCACTTCTATTAGTTTATTGTAATTTTCATAATGTTATTAATAATAAGAAAATTACAATTTATAATTTGTATATTAAAAAATTGATCAAAATTAAATAATATAAAATTGAATCATATTAGATTAATTTTTTATCTAATCATTTAATTAAATTAAACTACAAATAATATTATTTTTTAATTAAATAAATTTTTGTTTTAAAACTGATTAAAACCACATTGCAAACACTCTTAAAATAAATAATAAAAATCTCTACTTAAATAATAATTATTTTTTATTATTTTAATTCTTTATATATATTACATATTACTTCACTTCTATTAGTTTATTGTAATTTTCATAATGTTATTAATAATAAGAAAATTACAATTTATAATTTGTATATTAAAAAATTGATCAAAATTAAATAATATGAAATTGAATCATATTAGATTAATTTTTTATCTAATCATTTAAATTAAAGTAAACTACAAATAATATTATTTTTTAATCAAATAAATTTTTGTTTTAAAACTGATTAAAACCACATTGCAAACACTCTTAAAATAAATAATAAAAATCTCTACTTAAATAATAATTCTTAAAATATTATTATAAGCAAATATAGTTTGAAAATTTTGTTGAATAATTGACGTGTTGGATGAATCTAAAACAAAAATAGTTTACTTAAATCAGTGAAGTAAAAAATAATAGTTAATGGTCAAACTTTTTTCATTACATGCAAATTTTCTAATACAAATTTTATTCTAATCGGATGTTTTTTCCTAATACAACCTGTTCGTTTTATTAATTCTTTAAACATAGTTTTATTAATTATTTAAACAGTTGAGATTTAGTTTAAGTCTTTTAGATTTATATTTGATATTAATGAATCCTATATATATATATATATATATATATATATATTATATATATATATATATATATATATATATATATATATATATATATATATATATATATATATATATATATATATATATATATATATATATATATATATATATATATATATATATATATATATTTTGACATTAGTGTAAGTCTAAAGATTTATATCAAATCTCAATTGTTAATAGTATTTGATCAAACAGAAATATAAATAGTCTATTTTTTAAGAAAAATAAAAGACTATATATTCTTTTATTATTTTATTTCATTTAATATAACTGTTTGATCAAGTGCTATTAACGGTTGGGATTTGGTGTGTTATTTCTCTGAAATTATGATTGACATGAATTTTGATAAAACTAACCTTGCAGTAATATGTTGAACAAGATGTTTCAACTTGTTGTTTGAATATGTCGAATGAGATGTCCTAACCATAAGTATAGGACACCAGGTCTTCTACAGCTGACAGTTTGGATTCAATTGTTGTGATTTAATTCCTGAACATTCTAGGAATATTTAGTAATTCTATGTAGCGTCCAAGATTGATAAATCAGAGATATTTTTTTGGTTTTTCAAGATATTCAAACTTTCTAAATATGGAGATATTTTAGGAAAATTATGATTGAAGACCTATTTTCTTGGAGAAGTTTTTGCAGACTTTGTGCAACCTCTTTGCTGCGTGTTTAGATCCAAATCCAGTTGGGAAACATGTTATAAATAGAAGTGTTTGTAACATAGGAAACTACCAACCAAAAATGTAATATTATTAGGACTTAGTCTGTAAGCCACTATCTAGGAGAGTTGGTATGTGTGATCCACTCGACATATGAGTTAGACTGTGTTATAGAGTTCTAAGTCTCTATTATTATTGTTCTCCTCGAAGCTGTGAAGCAAGAGTGGGTATTGTTCTTGGAGGAAGCTTGTAAGCAACTCCAAGTTGTATTCTTAGTCAAGAGTCTTGGCTAGATATTATCATGGAAGTATGTCTTCTAGTTTCGTTGTCATAGAAGTGTGTCTTCTAGTTTTATTGTCATGGAAGTGCGTCTTCCTGTTTTGATACAACCGTTGTGTGATTGATTAGGGAGATGAGAAGGGTCTCATACCTAGGTGAGTCTTAGATAGAAAGTTAACACGGATAGTGATTAAGTGAGAAGTTGTAAACGGGAGAGTTTAGCTTCGAATTGATACTATTATAGTGGACTTTATCACTGGCTTGGTATTCCCCCAGAGTATGAGAGTTGCTCTGAACTGGGTTAATAATTTTGGTATATTTTTTATGCTTTTCAGTACTGTTTTGTATGTTTTATACCTTGCATGCGTGTTTTGTTCAGATTAGATGTCTCGACATGTCATAGGACA